CAGGCTAGTGTTAAGCACTTCCATTAGCTTGGAGGGTGCACAATTAAAGTCCTCCTGAAAAATCCCTCCTGGTCTCTCCAGTTTCTTGGAAATTCTGCAACTCTCAGAGCATGAGTGTGCACTGCTTATCAGCTGACTGACCCAATGCTGAGTTTACAGCTAAACATGCTGGTAGGAGGTGGGGCCTGTTGGAAGGGCGGTGTCCCCGGGGGAGGCTTGGGAGGCTACATCTCCCTCCAGGGCTTCTCCTTGCTCTCTCTCTCCCACTTTAAACTGCAGGTATCAGCCGCTGTGTATCAGCAGTGGGAAAGGGATTAACACAGATCACTCTCACTGATGTTGCACACGACTGTACCCTGCACCCTCCCAAGCTCCCAAACGTCCCTCATGCTGAGGGCTTCCTGGGTGCTTTACTTTTCAGCCTTCTTGATGGTTCTAGAGAGTTTTTTCTCCTCAAAATAAAATGGGAAAGGTTCTGTTGATACTGTGGAAATTAAGATGGTGTGTGAATTTTATGGGAATAGGATCTAGCATCACATTTCTTGAACGAATGTTTGGCAATATTCATGAAAAGTTAATTTATTCATATCATTTCCACTTCAACTCAGTGTCCCCGTTGCTACCTTGTTAGAGGAAAACGTAGATTTGCACAAGAATTCATGTTCAAAGATGCTGATTTCAGTTCTGATCATAACACCAACAAATGGAGAACAATTTGTGTGTTCACTAGGAGAATATTTTGATTCTTTATGTCACTTGGATGCTTTATAGCAGCCTCAGGGGACGTTGGGACACTAGAGTGGTCCAAAGAGGCTGCTTACTCACAATGAATAAGGGCCCAACCATGCTCTTGCTGACAGAGACAGAGAGACCCTAAGAGAGGGTGGGGTGTCTGGTATTCCTACCTAACGAAAGATTCTGGAGACTAGCTACACAATCAAGCTTGATCCAAGTGTGGTGTGACAGGAAACCCTAGAATCCATCGTATTAAGTGTTACAGGTAAGTGTAGACTAATACATATATCACTACCCATTGTGTTAGTCATCTATCTCATTTCTGGGACACAATGCCCAACACCCATTTTAGCGGAGGAGAGACTTAATTCTCTGATGGCTTCCGGGGGTTCAGTCCATTGTCACTGGCTGCAAAGCAGGAACATCACAGCTAAAGGCAATGTGGAGCAAAGATGTTTATTTCATGGTGGTTGGGAAACAGTGCCAGAGTGAATGAGTTTAGAGAAGATAGATAGATAGATAGATAGATAGATAGATAGATAGATAGAGAGAGAGAGAGAGAGATAGATGATACATAGATAGATAGCTAGATAGATGATAGATGGATAGAAGGTAGATAGATAGATCTCCCAAGTCTGTACCTACAGACACACCTCAAAGAGTATTTCCTAACCCCCTAGGGCAGCTCCCAAGACAATCATGAACATATAATTAAGATTAACATTCACACACATGAATGTTAATGTGATCAATATATTTTAAGAACATAACTATGCATGAAAAATCCTAAAAATCAGCTTTAAAGTAAGACACACTACATTAATCATTTTGGTGGCCTGGGGACAAGAACTTTGAAAAGAGAAAATATGATAATGTTCAGTCTTAAATTTTTGGAAATGATTGTAATTAAAATATTTGAATAAAGTAACTGAAACCTGACCCAACAGACCAAACATGGATTTTGAGCAGCCTGACATCATGAAGGATTGTTTTGTGTGTAAATAAATTCTGATGTGGTTCTGCAGGCACTCTCTGCCTTCAGGAGCTGCAGGCATCCCGGCCGCTTCCATCCTGGGGTCCCTCATGTGAACGTGGACCTGCCTGTTTGCTGGAAAGGAGGGAAAGCACAGGAATGCACAATGGCTCGCAAATGCCTGGATGTGACACTTCTTACACCTTTCACCGGGAAGGAAATGTCAGGTGCCTCTTTGTAGTGACACAGGGACAGTTAGGTTCCCCTTTGCCGAGGAGGGACAGAAGAACATGTGGTTGGCTACTTGAACTGTTTCCCATGAGCCGTCACAGAGTAGGTACTCAGCAAAAAGCAACTAGTGTCCTTTGTGAGGCAACATCACTCCTCATTTCTTGGAGATGTTCCTGAGTAGACCGGTTTGCCTTCAAGTTCTCTGAAGTCTTAAGTGCCTACCCAGTGACACACGCTTTTAAATCCTGCACTGTCCCATCTGATGTGAAGAGGACCATGTGAAAGCGAGCAGAGAGGGGTCGACTACTTCTGCCACAGCGGTTTCCTGCACTTCCCTTTGCAAAACACTCTGACTGCTCAGAACGGGGTTTTCTCCTCCCACTGGGTGCAGGCCGGAAGCCTTAACCTGTGGCTCTCTGTTCCCCTCCACAGGACCGCTCCGACCCCAGCACCTGCACAGGTGCGTCCGTCACCCTGAAAGCCCGCGTCTTCTGACAAGCAGGCGCCAGACAGGAGGCACAGGAAAGGCGGCAGATGACCTTTCCTCTTCCCACCTGAGTCAGTATGCCTGTGAAGGAACCACTTCTCACCTCCGAGGAGGACTGCATGTTCTCTAGAAATTTGGCTTCAGGAAATGGTTGTTCCGCGTCTACCACTGATGAGGGAGCGTTAGGTGCTGACCCCAAAAGAAGCTTATCTGTACGTTTATGTGTTTGCTTTGCAGCTGCCAATAAGCAACACCCTAAATCCTATGTGAATATTGGAGTAGGCTCAGACATCTTCCCTCCACCCTCAGGGTTATAACCCAAAGCCAGAACCAGAGGATTGGCAGCCAAGTCAAAGACTACTCAAGCCCCATGGGAAAACAAAGAAGGTGATGATTCTCAGGTAGGGATGCCCATGTGTCTAAACTCACAGTCCGAGTGCACGTCTCTGACCAAGGGCCATGGCTATCAAAGGGAGAGAGGGTGAGCTGGGGACAGCCAGGAACTCTCGAGGCAAGGGTCATGGGGAGGCCTGGGAATGCTGTGTGCTCAGGAGGGGGCAGCAGCTAAGTGCTGAGCATCAAGCCAGGCACCAGAGCTGGAAGGGACGGCACATGGGGGATCCCAGGGAAGGGGATGCACAGCAGGAAAGTGCTGGCAGTGGACAGAAATGCCCCCAGCTGGGCATAGGCCGGCTGGCAAGGAAGCCACCTCAGACTCCCCCACTGGTGTATGATTCTGGCATCTGTAAGACGGCATGCCCGGGGCCTCCACAGACCTCTTTTCTTGGTTATGAGAGACACTATCCTGTGCTTAGAAATGATTTGTAAGTCAGAAGTTGGAGCAGTGGGACCAGGGACGGGCTCCAGATGTGTTCATAGGGGGC